GCTGGCGCACTTGCGGTGGCGATAAGAGCATCGTCGTGCAGTCTCTGGACGGCGTCTCGGCGCTCATGTAGCCGATGCCGTTGCGCGACGCAGGACGGGGTGACCGCAGCTGGGTCATGCTCGTGGGTTGCTCAAAGCCATGCCGGGGCGAGACCGGCTCGCGACCAGACAGCGGCGGGTGCGGCGTCCGCGGTGTCCGGGGTGTTGTCGATGCTGCTTGCGATGGGCGTTCTGGCGATAGAAGAAGAATGTCGCCGGCCTCCTCGGCTTGGTTGCAGTCTTCCAGTGTCAAGTCAAAATCGGCGAGGTCGCCAATGACGGACGGACACCCGGACGCGACGGACGCGGTTGCAATGTTCTACATGACAATATACAACCACAACGTCGTTGTCCAAATGAGATGGCACAACACTGTACCTCGAGTGATTTCGGAAACTGCGTCGGGTCAAAGAGGAGGTGGATCGCGCGGTTCTTGGCAACGATTTTGCCGATCGTCATCTCGATCGTCATTTGAGCCCCCGTTGACGCGACCTCGCCAATCTTGTGCAAGAGGTCCCGGACGCCGCAAAAGACCACGTCCTTGGTGAGGTTTTTAGAAAACTTGATGGCGAGCTTGGTGAAGTTGATGTCTTCGATCGCGGCCACAATCGGGACGGTCACACGTTTCTTGTACTGGAGGCCATACGTCTTGCCGAACGTGTCGTTGAGCATAAAGATGGGCCGGACCTTGCGCGTATTGCGGCCAATCGTGAGTGTTTCCCAGCTAATCTTGCCAAACGGCGCAATGTGCGCGCCCTACCTCGGCATGGATTTTGTTTGGGACAAGATAGTTCCGTACCTTGCCTTCGTGGTACCGCGCTTCGACCCACGCATTGAGCGCGATCCAGACCTCCTCAAGCGTCTCCTTCTTCTTGTCGGCGGCGCACGACGTCCGCGTCATCTTGCCGCTGCAGTCTTGGAGGAGGTTCCGCAGCGTATACATGGTCGGCTTGAATTCACACTCGACATTGCGTGGTCACGCGGCTAAAAATAGCGCGCCAAAAGCAAAGCGGTTGCCTTTAGAATAGTGAGTTCTTCTAAGCGACACAATGCAAAAGGCCACGCCAGCACGCTGAACAGGCTTCATCGTGCGGCGGATAATGGCACGTGGACTGTGAGATAGTATGCCTTTCCAGGGACTTGAACAACGAGGTAGTTGTGTCAAGTGTGCTGCTGCTTTATGGAACAAAGCCTTTCGTCCACTCGGTGGCAATAAGCTCTTACCGGTCGTGTGTAGAAAGGTACGCCTCCGCACTGCAAACCGATTCTACTCAATTTTCGATCGCATGTCAAACGCTGCATCAAGAGTGCGCCACGTCAGAATTCGTCGGATTGACCGTTCGGGGCTGCCACGTCAAAGCGACTCGGGCAAAGATACCAATCATGCCCTTAAGCCCTCAACTGAAATGGCTTCCGAGAGCGGATCACTGTCCTTTCAGTACATGGCTACGATTGGCCGAATACGTCTTACGACGCGAATAACGGGTCCTTCATTCGTATCGCAGAAGCATGCCACGCCGTTTTTCTCAAGGTGCTGGCCGTGAGAAAGCGAAAGAGATTCGGTTATAAAAACTCGTACCTGGAAACGCACGGGATTGGCCGAGCTCATTTCAGTGGTGGCATCATCATGCCCATCGACTGGGACGAGCTCAAGCGCGTGTCGGCGCAAGTCCAAGCTGACTTGGACGGTGTCGGCCTCGACTTCCACCTCGAGTTCTCGTACGTCCTTGGATCATCTAGCCATTCGTCAATGGCCATCGGCTAGCTCGGTCTATGACATGTGGACGACCAAGCTCGCCGACATCAAAGACGATGCGACCAAGCCCGCCGCTTGGTACACGCAAGGCGCCGACTACTGGGAGGTACATGGCTCTCTTGCAAGCAATAACGTCATAGAAAACACGTACTAGGACGAAGAGAACTGCCCGCCAGACGTCGGCGGCGTCTTAGGCGGCTACGGGTACATTTCGCCCATCGACATCGAAGGCTCGACCGCGTTTCTCGCACGCGTCCAGGCGCTGCGCCCTGCCTTCAAGCGCGACCGTGCAATCGGTGCGCGAGTATCTTCCACCATATCTTCTTGTGCTGACGTGGTTTTTAGACTGCGGTGGTGGCATCGGCCGCGTCGTCAAGCACCTGCTTCTCCCGCTATTTGCATCTGTCGACTTGCTCGAGCAAAGCCCGCGCCTTCTCAAGGCCGCGCCTCGCTACATTGGCGCTGAGAAGCACCGCGTCGAGACGCTCTTGTGCATGGGTATGCAGGACTTTGATCCGTCGCCCAACAGCTACGACCTCATTTGGTGTCAATGGGTCTGTCCTCACTTGATGGATCTCGACTTCATCAAGTTTCTGCAGCGGTGTCAGCAGGTACACTCGATGTCATGTCTTCGAACGCGCATGTCCACATATGCTAGGCTCTGCGGCCGGGCGGTGTCATTTGCATCAAAGAAAACATCATCGTCGATGGCTCGCCGTACGAGCTCGACGAAGACGACAGCAGCGTGACGCGGTATGTCGATCCTTGATGCCTCGTGCGCCACCTCATCTTGCTGGTAGATCGGCCGCATATTACAAGAGTATTTTCCGGCAAGCGAACCTGACGCTTCTCGCGGACGAGCGTCAAGAAGGCTTTCCCGAGGAGCTCTACCCCGTCATGACGTACGCGCTATACTAAAATGCAACGGCGGGAGACTTTGGTGCGACACCAACTACAGTCGGCTCCTCTTCATTCGTATATCCGAGCTTGCCGCCACGCGCGGTGTTTGCGGCCGGCGAGGTGGAATCTTCGTGCAAAACCCACAGCTCATTCGGGGAGGTATCATTGCCGCAGCTCCAGCTCATCGCCAGCACGCCTGTGGACAAGATTATGTGCACGGAGTTGTGCTGTCCGTCATCACGTCGAAAAGTCGGAACTGGCGATCCTGTCGACTTCGAGACGGCTAGACACTGTGCAGCACCAGAATGCTGTATGTGTGTCCTTCCTCTTCGATGCAGTGGGTCTACCTATCCACATGTATCCAAAGCGATCCCACATAACTATTACGGAAAAACACCCCAGTTGGAAGCTACCCATGGAAGTCTCGGCTCTCTCCCGCCACGCGACTGAAATGGTGGGCTAACCACAACCCACTCACTTTGTCTTTGTATGGGTGAGGGCAACATGCCGCCCTTGACACCCAACCTGTGCATGATCCGACCACGGGTCTCGTTCTGCATACAGCGCGTTGTGCTACGTAGCGCCGTCCATCATGTGATGCGAATCGAATCGCGGGCAGGTGGCGGGCGACCTGCCGCCAGGCCAAATGGCGTGTTTTTAGTCTCCAATGACGTTCACTCTTGGATTTCCACGCGTCCGCGGCGTTGATTGGCCA